AGAACTATGGATCAGAGTAACTACTAGGTTTGGAATCATGGGAAATCAACAACAAAAGAAAATTAGTGTTGGCAATTTCGTAATCCATGTCAAAGACATGCTCTTTAAGACATCAGAATTCAGGACATAGTGGACTATGAGAAGATGTGAAGCAAACCATGCACAATTCTTGTTTTTTGTTTGTGATGTTAGTGAAAGACATTGAATAGATCTAATTGTGCTTATTCACAAATTCAAGTTGTTTGCACTGCTGTTCATATCTGCTTCAGGTAATTTGTCTTTTAAAGAATTAATAAAGAGATAGGCAAAGAGGTTTAGAAACAATATGGAAAGAAGCATAAGATCCTGTTTGTGATACATTCCCAAGAGGTGCTCTAAGGGCAACGGATTCAAAAACTTGACTTCACATCAGATCTCTCAATTTCTGATGGTATTGTTTCGGTGAATAGAATGTTATGCATTGGGCAGTAGGCTGTAATTGAACTAGAGCTATGATAGACCTGACGTAACAAATCAGCAAATGTTCTATTCTAGCCAGATTTATAGAAAATTGTAGACTTGATGCATGTAATTACTGGTTGACATATGTGGTATTCCACAAGAGTAGGTAATTTAAGCACAAAAAGAAAGGTCTATGTAGGTTAACAGAGTATGTCTTAGACAAGGAAGAACATTTAGGGGCGAATATTTGCATGAGACAAAAGAAGCCTATTATGGAGGGAAGGATCACAAGGGCTGTAGTCTCTTTCTGTGATGTTAAGTAGTTTCTCATACAATGTTTACGTACCCTCCTAATCAGATTGACATGCTTGGGACTCCTAACAATACCGAAAGTAGATGTAACCGTACCACAAATGCATCTTTGCACTAGGAAAAATATCTGGCCTGATGACCTCTCTGTAATAGCAAAAAATATTGATAATGAGGACAGTATTAAAGAGGAGATATTTGACTCATTCAAACTGATTGATTAGAAATGCAACAGTAAGTTAACTGAAAAAAGAACTAATCTAATGATATTTATTACTGGCTTGTACTAACATCTACTTAAACCCTTACCATAAGTCCTTTTTCCCTGCATGATCAGATATCAAAAATGGCCGGGATTTGAATGATTACATGAGGACATTTAATTACATCATTTCTGAGGGTTCTAGCTGGACCAAGCAACCAACTAAGTATTTGGTTCTAACAATTTATATGTAGGACTGGGATGTTCCATTGGAGAGGCATTGAGCTGATCCCACCATAGGCTGCCTATTTTATTTGCTTATTTCTGTTGACCCCTCTCTCTCTATATATACCTATGTAATATGCATGTATATTGCCAATGATTTTGTTGCAGGTGGATATGGTGTTGCCACTGGTGGCCCACTTGCATGGGGATTATGCTATAATCATGAAATGAGCCCAAGCCAAGACTACTGCGATCCAAACTACCTTTATCCCTGTGTCGACGGAGTTCAATACTATGGACGTGGTGCTCTGCCTGTGTACTGGTATGTCAATGATGTTTACAGTCTTATGTTTCAATGGAACAAAATAATTAATCTTGTCACGGCTTGTGATTTGAATTGATGACCTTCAGGAACTACAACTATGGGCTTCTTGGCGACGCCATAAAGGCAGATCTGTTGAACCATCCAGAATACCTGGAGCAAAATGCTACCCTGGCTTTCCAAGCCGCTATGTG